CCCGCCCCGCAGAAGTTTAGGGTTTTGTTGATAATCCAGCCTCTTTCTTCTCTTTGTTGGTGTGACAATAATGTTTTCTTGTGGCTTTCTTGGAAGCCAAGACCAAGCATATCTAGACACTTTTATTTTGCCCTCACATTCAACTGATGGTTTGATTGGGGTAGAATTCTGGCTTGGAAAACATTTCTGTTCAAAATTTTAAAGGCATCCATCCATCGGATGTCTTAGAGGCTCGAGCTCCCATTGTTAGTGTTGAGAAGTCTGAAACCATTTGAATCCTGTTTATTTGTATGTGATCTGTTTCTTCTCCATGGATGATTATAGAGACTGTCCCCCCAGCTTTCTGCCATTTCAGTTTTGGGGGCCTGTTTACATCCTGGTGTAGGGCACTCGGACCTATTCAATCTGGAAATCATGTCCTTCGGTTCTGAGAACTGCTCTCGTATTACTTTGATTTCCTCCCTTCCTTTTTTGCTTTCTGTTCTCTTTTTGGTTATCGAACCTCCTGGACTGGCCTTTAACACATCTCTTCTCTCCTGTTTTCTATGGTTTTGTCTTTTTGCTCCACTTCCTGGGTGATTTCCTCAACTTTATTTCCAGTCCTTTCTTTGAGTTTCTTCTTTTTGCTATCAGATTTTTATTCTCATGAGATCATTTTTGTTCTTGGAATGCCCCCTTTTTAATAGTATCCTGTTTTTATATCATAACCACACTACCTTATCTCCCTTTAAAATATTAGTGAAAGTTTTTTCTTTTTTAGGTTTTCTTTTTCCTGTGTAGTTTTGTTTGCTCCAGATTTCCTTGTTTATTTGTTTTGGTCTTGATCTTTAGTGTAGAGGTTTCCCTAGATGTCTGGTGAGCCTTAGACACCTGCTTATACGTAAGAATGTGGGACGAAAAGTCAAGTTTAAAGCTCTAAACACATGAGTGGTGCTTGCTGACCGTGCACTTCACTGTAAGGTGATCTGGCCAGGGCATTTTGTTAGGTAACCTCTGGTGAAAGTATTTTCAGGTCTTTCCTCTTGGGGTGGCCACATGCCATGGAGAAGGTCCTCTGGGACCTGAGAGGCCAAGACGGTGCTGGGGGCAGGTGGAAGGGGGTCTCAGCATCCAGGGTGCATACATGTTCACTTCCCATTTTCATGTGGCACTCACCCTGACCTCAGCCGTGTCCAGTGCCCCTCAATCTGGAGACCCACTCTTTTACCTTCTCCAGAGAATAAATCCCAGTCTTTTTCCTGTTCAGAACACAGGAAAGGGCATCTGGGGATCTGTTTCTTAAACACATTAAACAAATCCTTTTTAGTTTAGCCTTGATTTTCACCTCTACTTACTGAAGTATGTTTTTCTGCCAATTCCTTAGGCTCGGGGGGATTTTGTAGTGTGAATCAAGCTTTTTTTCTTTGCTTTCCTTGTGCTAACTTAATAGTCACTTTTCTTGATTCTGCTTGCTTTTAATCTGATTGGCGGGTCCTAATTTCATTGGTGTTGTCTGCTCCCCTGTTTTCTCCAATTCTTGGGGTTTTGCCTTTGAAAAACCTCTTAGTGTTATAGTGAGATTCTTAGGGAGACAAAGTAGAGTACATGTGTTCAAATCTGTCATCCTTACCCGGAGTTCCAAGGTAGTAACCTTAATTTTTTTTTGAAAAAACCTCCTTTTGAGATTCTTGTTTGCCCAAGCCTCCTACCTAGGCTCTAATACAGGGGCACCCTCCATTGTTAGAGAAAACAACATTTGGTAATAGTAGCATAATTTTAAGAACTGTTATCATTTGGAAGCTTATGAAAGTTTCTGATTTAGGCACTAAATCTAGGAACTAATTTTCTTTTTTAAACCATTATCAGGCCCAAGTCTGTTTTGGTGGTCTGAGAAGAAAAAAGATGAGCTTCTAAAGTTTTGGGAAAACTATATATTAATTATGGAAACTCTTGAAGGAAATCAGGTAAGTGTTTTCATATTTTAACAAATCCTATGTAGATGCAGTTCTTGGGTTTTTTTCCCCAAACATTCTGTAAAAGCAATACAAAAAGGCCAACTTGGATATAGCATAATGGAGTCCAAGCGTACTTTGTTTTCTGGCATAGGTGCAATTTAAGATTGAATATAAACTCAGGAAATTAAAGAATACTTTCAGTTGACTTAAGTTATCATTCAAAGAATTCAGTCTTATTCGATCTTCCCTTGACATTTACTTCTAAAATGTTTACGAGTTTTTAGTTTCTTGATGTTATGAATAATCTCCTAAGAAATGCACACTAAGGGAAATGTTACTTAAAGTCTGAGGTAAATTGTTATTAAGTAAATAATGACCCTATAATGGCCCTTTGATTTTGTAGATTTCCTTCCTTCCTTCCTTCCCTCCCACCCTCCTCCCTCCCC